ATATATATATATATTGAAGCTCAGAATTCGGCTCGGGAACCGAATTCTGAGCATGAACAGTGATTGGTTCTAATTGGGTAAATAAAGTTGCACATATATTATTTTTGTAATTTTAAAAAAAATATTATTTATGTAAAAAATTCGAAAAGATTACCATAAATATTACAAAAACAATAGATGTCTGTTATTGAAAATGTTAGCAAAAACAGGGCAACCTTGAATCGAGCGACAGTGAAGGATAGCGGCGCTCCGACCAGACAACCGTGTTCCAGCTATTTTTGTTTTGACTCGCAGTTATCGATTGCAGTAAGTAAGTAATTGGCCCCACACCAAAATCGCTTGAATAATGAATTATCTAGGTGGGTCCCACGACCACCACCGTTTGGTTTGGGTCGCACCTACACTCAATCACTCACCTAAATCATCACATCTTTTGTCGTTTTGATTTGCTCAAACTCAACACTTTCACACACTGCATCCAAAACCCATCATTTTTTTACGCTATGGACCAGAATTTACTACAATAACTTTGATTGCTGTGTACAACTGAAATTTTATCTTATTAATATATGTAAATATATATTAATAATATCTGTATTAAATATAAGTGCATATTATTAAAATAAAAGTATAACTTCAATTAAAGAATAACGCCAATCATTTTAAGAACTAAAAGAAAATTTTGTCCAAATTATATTATCTCATTTTTCTCTCTTTAAACAATGACTCTGGCCAAAACAAACTTTTAACACTAGTGTCCACAAATACAGGATCCTGATCATCTACAGTTGCAAGAGAAATTGCATAAGGTATAGTTGTAAATCTCACCATTGAATTTCATGATTAATTTTAAATTCTAATTCATGATGTAATAAAAAAAAATATGAACGGCCTTGATTCATGCAGTTTTACTCGTAACTGCAGAGTATCAAAATCCACAAATACTAATTCCAAACTCAACTCCAACGCCCCAGTAGTCTAAGCAGACAAAAGTTACCATCTTTTCAATCCCATTAGTATTTATTTTTCATTTTACTCTGGTTAGGATACACTGTAAATACAAAAATATTCATTGATTTTATTAATAATTATAAAAAAAATTGTTTAATAACTTTTAGTAAGGTATATTTTTTTATTTCATGCTAAACCTTACTTAAATATCTAAACCTAAGAGTGTTCATAGGTTAGTTTATTAAAAAAATCGATCCAAACTGACCCGAACCGTTTTATATAAATGGATAGGTTAATTGATTCATTTTTTATAAAGTGGATCGATTTGGTATTTTTAAAATATGGATCGATTTTTTTAAAATTAGATCGGTTCGGTGCGGTGTAGTTATCCACATTTTTACTCATATATGGATCGGTATTTTTAGAAAACCAAACCGAATCGAACGATCCACTTTGTAAAAATGGATCGGATAACTGAACCGATTTTATAAAGTGGTTCGTTTGGATTTTTTTTCAAAATAAATCAAATTATTCAATATGGATCGAATCGATTATGAATCGTTTCGGATCAATTTGAATTTTTTGCACACCTCTATCTAAACCTAGTTCTACTCTAACTATAATAATACTAATATTTTATATATGCTTATTTAAAAGAGTTCAATTCTTACTAACAAATAAATAATAAAAATATATGGATGAATTTGGTTCACATAACATTTTTTTATTAATAATTATGAAAATATTATCTTATTTTTCTCAATCATTTTAAAGTAATTAGACAAAAGTTATAAAAATGAACCATTGTTCATATATTTTATATAAAATTATAAGGGAGTTGCTACTGTACTCCTGATAAATGATGGGAGTTGCTACTGTACCCCTGATAAATGAGGGGTTTTGGTACTGTAGCTAATGTGTATATGTACACATCATCTAAATACCATGTCAAATGCCATGTCAACCTTTTAAATAAAAATTATTTTATATTTAAATTTTTACATTATTTATTTTTAAGTTTTTATTAATATTTTTATAATTATACGATCTCCTCTCCCCTCCCTCCGTCTCCCACCTCTCCCTCTCCCCTCCGTCTCCCACCTCTCCCTTGCCCCTCCGTCTCCCACTCCCCTCCCCTCCCCTCCGCCTCAACCCCTCTCCCTACTTCTTGAACTCCCTCGCCACAGCCATTTACCACTCCTCCCTCCCCTCCTCCTCCGCCCTCCACTATTCCCTCCTCTCCACCGTCGACCATGACTCCTCCAAGGTTACCTTTGTCTCTGACGACATCCTCGTCCTCCGCGGCACCATCGGCGTCAACCTCGGCTCCTCCGACGCCGACGCCGTCAACCAGAATCTCGTGGAGGAGACCAACCGCATCCTGGTCGAGATCCGCTCCGACGCCGACCCCAACGACTTCGACGAGCAAGCCCCCTTGAACCCTAACGTGACCTACAGCCTGGGCCCCAAGATCCGCAATTGGGACGAAGAACGCAAGGCTTGGCTCCTCCAAAACCCCGAATACCCTAATTTCGTGAGAGGTAAACCCCACATCTTGCTCCTCACTGGTTCCCCTCCCAAGCCCTGTGATAACCCTATTGGGGACCATTACCGCTGAGAGAAAGAAACACGAAGCAAACATTTCGAAAAAAAAAAAGAGGAAGAAACACGAAGCAAACACTCTGAAAAAATATTAAAAAACGTGAATTTCATTATAATTGACGTGGATATTGAATTGTAAATAATTATAAAATTATAAGTGATTTGGATCACACATCATCGACACGTCATCGACAGTACCGGTACCTTTCTTTTACGGAGGGTACCGTAGAAATTCTCAAATTATAAAATGTTAGTTTGATGATGATCGATAAAAAAAAAAAAAAAAATTGGAAAAAAAATGTGTTCAGAAAAGAGGAGTTTGAAGTTAAGAAGTAAGAATAAAAGGAAAAGGAAGAATTAGGTTGACTAAAAGGAGGAGCTAAAGTGAGTGTGAAGATGCTAAAGTCTAAAGACATGAAAAATGAAAACAAAACCAAAAATAAAAGCAGTGAAGTGAGAGAGTGAGAGAGAGAGAGAGAGAAAGAGAATCATGGCAGTTTCAGTAACCATTTTAGTCCTCATCATCGCTCTGCATCTCATAGCCTTCGTCTTCGCCGTCGGTGCCGAACGACGTCGTAGCCAGGTAACCCTACCCCTCTCCTCTCGCTTTCGTTTCCCAAATCTGATTCCTTTTCCGTTTTCAGGCCAAGGTGGTCCCTGACGAGTACGACGACCGAACTTTCTGCGTTTACACCACCGACGCCTCCACCGTCTACGGCCTCGCCGCCCTCGCCCTCCTGCTCCTCAGCCACGCCGTTCTTAACGCCGTCACCCGATGCCTTTGCTGCGGCAAAGGCCTCGTCTCTGGTGGCTCCGCCACCTGCGCCGTCGTCTCCTTCATCCTCTCATGGTACGTAACACTCAATTAACCACGCACAATACTAATTTCACCTTTAATTCGTTAAATCCCTATCAATTCATCTACTGATTGTTTTAGTAACCAAAAATTAAACACAATTTTGAGCTAAATGGAGTTTCACTTCAGCTGCATAGTGGTGAATTGAAAAAATTGGATGATATTTAAAAATGTTTTGATTAATTTGTTATTTGTTATTACTACTGCGGAATCAGGGTTAGTTTTTTGGGGGCAGAGGCGTGCTTGTTAGCAGGGTCGGCGAGGAATGCATACCACACAAAGTACAGAGGGTACTTCGGGGCGAAGGATTTGTCTTGTGCTACCCTACGCAAAGGTGTGTTTGCTGCTGGAGCTGCCTTAACATTGTTGTCTATGTTGGCCTCCATTTTGTACTATTGGGCACACTCCAAGGCTGACACTGGTTTCTGGGAGAAGCACCACAACGAAGGCCTTGGATTGGCCACGCAGCACCACCACCACCACCACCAAGGTGCTGACTCTGATAATAAGGCCTGATCATGATTTCTTGCTTTGAACGGATTCGACAATTTTACTCAATTTTGGTGGTCCTTCTTTTGCTCTTGGATAATGGATGTTCATGCTCAGGGAGGGGCAATGTTTTCAAAACCTTGTTCGTATATTAATGGGTCAAGATATAGTGTTTATGCTGTAACAGGAGAATGCTTCAAATATATAGATAAGTAGTATGGTGGTGGTTTAATATTATTCCCATCTCTAGTTTGAAAGTTTTGAAACTAGCTGATTATTGAACTTTTGGCCTCCTACAGCTACTTGCTTCTTTAGTGTCTCACTTGCATAGCTATATAGCATCTCCAATGATTTTCTTGAAGTAAAGGTCCTTATTTTTAGTGCTCCTGTTATATCACATTAAATTGAATTATGTTATTGTCTAAGAACTTAAGATGGGTCTCACTTATTATCTCATAAAATCTTATTTTAATCATAAGAACCAGTTGTTTATATAAGAATCAGCTTACAGTTGAAAATCATGTTAGCTTCCTCCGATGGTGATCAAGAGTAAGAACTGGTTTTTAAACTTGAGAATCTCATAAGAGCTGCCACTGGAGATGTCCTTACTAACTATAGATTTCTTACAAAGCCTTTTACCGGAGATTTCAAACAAGAAGGGCCGAATAACTAGGTTCTCATTTTCCTGTTGTGTGGTAGTGATATTTATGTATATATATATTTTTTATTTGTAATATCTTGATGTGGGATAAGTGATAGAGAGAGAAAATGAATATGAAGAAATTGTTGGAAAAAATTGTTATAAGAGTAAGGTTGCGCTATCTTGATATTTTGAATTTAGTGTTAATTGGCTTGCATCAAATAGCTAATAGATGGGTTGAAATCTGATATGTCGGAGCAAATTTTTTAAATATCTAGATATTTTGGTATTGTATTATTATAATGATTATGATATGTTGGTATATTTAAATCCAATATGTTTTCTGATGGTTGAGAGTGAAAGAAGGGAGGTGAGAGAAGGCGACACACAATGTCTTCGGCTTGATATCTGGGCATAGATATGGGTAGATACAGACGGATTGATTGCTCTGTTGGGTTTTGTAGGAAAACTATTCCATGGACATTTTAGGATAACTTTGGATAAGCTTTGAAGGAGAAGAAAACTTCTATGGTGTTTTTTGGTTGTCTTTTCATTTTAGAATTTAAAAACAAATAAAAAGAAAAGATTAAACCATAGAAGTTTTCTTTATAAGAATTTTAAAACAATTAACATGAAAACTTCCATAGCTTGGTATTTTTTTTTAAAGTTATTTGTTTTTAAAATTTAAGAATATTAAGACTTTTTTCTATTTAATCTACTTATAACAAAAAAATATGATTTTATTTTAAAAACGCGAGCATACCCATGGTTCATTGTTTAGTTCTACACTAACAATATAATTTCTTTTATCTTATAAAAAAGGCATAAAATAAAAATAAAAAATATGCCCATTCACTCTCATTATATTCTTTTTCTTTTCCCTTCAAACAAAAAAGTCTACAAAGATAAAGAAGATAAATTTAAATCAGTTGTTTTAGCAAAGAGAAATCTTAAGTTTTATTTAAAAATTATATTTGTGGAACTTATTGTTATATTATAATCATAATTATTATTTGAACTTTTATCTCGTATAATTAAGAGGTACAAAATGCAATGCGGTGGTGGAGGGGAAAAAAAGATGAGGATAATATTTATCTAAATTTAATGCAATGTAATTGATCTAAATTTATTCTAATCTTTGTTTATTTAAATTTACTCTCAAACACCAAAGACCGCAAATAGGAGAAAAGTGAAATCACTGATTATTGATTACTTATTCATTTTTCTCAATTTAGTGGTCACTAATTCAAAAGATCGCAAATAAGAGAAAAGTGAAATCACTGATTCTTGATTACTTATTCATTTTTCCTAATTTAGTGGTCACTAATTCGAAGACAAAAACACTAGTAAACTTTTTTTTTTAAAATTATGCGACTTATAATTTTTTTTATATTAAATTTAAAGCTCACATAGTCACATTCAAAATCTGTGCCGACAATTTTCATTCAAGCGTGAAAACTGAAAAGTTGAGTTGACAGAATCAGTTCCATGCAATTAACATATTGAAGAAGGAACAGCTTTGCTTTAGTACTTGTTAGTTGAGCAGGAAATGAAATGATTGTCTCATATCTAGTAACGTAAAGAGATATAATTATAATTTAACCTCACAGAAAGAGTGGTGACAAGTGATGAGAAATTATTTGTACGATGGGCAAATAAAAGCTGCGTGCTCATAATCAGCAAACTACATTCATTAGTAGATGCAAAGTGGTACTAGATGAAATTCTCCAACAACTGACAAGGGACACAATGTTGTAGCACGACCACACCAAACAGAGAGACAAGCAGAGGACCTGTCCCACTTGAAACAAAACAGAGTAGATTACATAGAAAAACACATACATAAGATACTCATATATATATGAAGGTAATAGTTTAAGGCTAGCAAGTGGGGAATGGGGAACCACAAGTGGTAGCAACCTTCCTAGCATTGGGAGAGTTAACAAGCTTCTTGAGGTTGGGGTTTTTCAAATACTGGCAAAGGCAAGGCCTTTGTTCCTTCAGTTTGCTACAACAAACCGCTGAAGGAGGACTTGAGGATGTCATGGCGTTGGCACATGCACTCAGCTGCAACGCGTTACACGTCACTGCTGCCACTGAACCCTTTGTCTCATATAGTAGGACTAAACTAAGCATAATGCAAAATGTTGCATATGAGATCTTCATTTTCAAAGAGACACTAAGACAGAGGGATGCATAAGGGTGTGGCTCTCTTCACTATTTATAGTGCGGCATGGGACATGATCCAATGCAACATCCAAAACCTGACCTTAGGACAAGGATGATGACTCGTGTTACGTGCTAAAGTTGGAGACCCGTATTTAGGTATTATCATGAATTTGCGGAGGACCCCCTTTGCTTTATTGTCTATTCATTGCTAACAGATTACTCATTGGACCAAGGTCATGCTATTGCTAGGGGGCTTATATATAACCCTTGCCACCATCATTACAAAGAAACGTGTCTCCCTAACCATTTGCAATTTTTTTGTATAATTATTAAATGTACAAAAAATAAACAAATTATTATACGACTTTTATAATATCAATGGTCATGTTAGAAATACGAAACTCTGTCGAAACTCAATCAAATAATTATCGCACAATTAATGAATCGCATGGCTAAATATCAGACAATGAATTACATTAACATTCATTTTTTGACGGGTAACTAGGGAGAGTGTTTACATTTTGACTAGAGGATTTAGGTTAAAACTGCTCGTTAATCAAAGACATGCTAATGATGTTTTACCAACCCCACAAGTTCGCGAGAGCCTATTTTATAGAAACATAAATAATTGAAGAAAAAAAAAGGAGAGAAAAAGAAGCCACCATATTCTTTTATATACAGACCGTGTCTTAATTTTTTTAAAAAAATAAAATTAATGGTGCTACTGCTAGTCATGAAGTTCCTTTCCAAATTGAAGCTAGTATATATCTCAACTAACTTCTCTATTAGTATATGATATTATAAGAATATTACATTTGATATTGTAATTTTTGTTTTTTTACTTAGTTTTATTTTTTTTTTGTAATTCATACTCATAAAAAAATAAATATATATTCATCATAATTTTGACTGTCGAGGACTATAAATATAATATTGATTTTAATGAAATATAAAATTTATTAAGATAAATTAATGAACGTGAAATAAATTAAGAAATTAGGTGGCGCTTAGTACCACAGAAAGCGAATGACATGATATAACGTCTCATAACGTATCAAATAGCCATTTTTTATTTTTTATTTTGATAAAATTTGTTTATTTTTTTGTTGTTAACAGAAATTAAGAAGATAAATTTACGTAAAAATGAAGAATCAATCAAGTTACTCCAAAATTATTTTAAACATAATGTTTTTATAACCAACTTTCTCGAATAATTTGGTTGTTGATAAACATTTTCATTGAATTTTTAAAACTCAACCGCGTCAATGGATATACAGTGTTTGCAGGGAATAATTTGTAATGTTGCATTACTTTTTGAAGAGACATTCTGTAGTATGTCACGCTGAAGGCCGAATGACTTTCGGCGATGTGATGGATGGTCAAGGTCAACATTTGAGTTTTCTTTATCATTATGTTTACTGTTTTGTCCAAGGACAAAGAAAAAACAAAAGTAAAAAATCAAAACTCCATGCCTTTACGGACAATTTTCCTTTCCCTTTACACTATACTTTCTTTAGTTTAGGATGGTAAGTGAAATGGGCCAATTTTTTTTTTTTTTAGGTTGTTTAATAGTATACTATATATAATTATACAAATATTTCAATGAAAATATTTCAGATGTAAATGTTATGAAACTAATAATAAAACAAAATCAATAGATTTTAATATTTTCGTTAATTTGTGTTAAGTTTTTTCAGTGTTGTTTAGTTGTCGGAGAAAGAACATAAAGTGTTGTTTGAACTTAAAATTTATGAGGTAGAATAAAAAATATAAAAGCGATCAAAGTTCAATTAAAAATTAAGAGATCCATTTTAAATTTGATGAGAGAAGAGCAGACAATAAATAAAGAGCACAAAAAAGTATTGTGATCAAAAGAAGGGCGTAAAAATAATATACGTGTTTTGAAGAAGCTTAATATTAGAGAAGAGAATGAAGAATCAATTTCCGACGTTTATCAAAGAGATAATGTTGTTACCATGTAGCCCGTTAAATTAAAAGAAGGTTCAACTAACAAAAAAGAATAAATGCAATAAAAAATAAATTCAAGTCAAACGTAGAGATAATCTTACTCCTAGAAGGTGATTTTGAAAATTATAAGCAAAATAAAAAAGAAGAAAAAACAACTTTGAAATTTGGAATTCAAATTAAGTGTCCATAGTATTAAGCCAAAAAAGTGTTGAAAATATGTCTAAATACTCATTTTAAAATGAATGATATGATTTTTAACATATTGTTTAAATAAAGATTAAAATATTATTTTTATTGTTGATAATTTAAAGATGTTAATTATCAAATTATTTTAAGATTAAGATGTGATCAATAATGGACATTTGTGTTACACTTTAATTTTATATACAAACGTCATGAATAAAAATTTCATAAGTTCTTCTACGTAACATATATATATCTTCTTTTCTTAAAAAATAATTCTAAATTTATTATAGATGTAAACAATAAATATATATATATATATATATATATATATATATAAAGAAGAAGAAAAATTGACTATTCTAAAGTGATGAAACTTCACTTTAAAGAATAAAGTGTAATAATAATTAATTGTTAATTAAAAAATTAAATATAGACATTATAATTAATTTTAAATTTTATTATATATATGTATTTGATTTTATTACAAAGTTAAAATTTATTATTATCTTTTAATTAATAATTTTTATTGTATTTTATTCTTTGAATTACATCTTTCAAGGAGACAAATAAATAAATAAATAAATAAATAAATATATATATATATATATATATATATATATTCTTCCCTTTCTTTATTATTTTTTCGATTGCTTGTTGATTCTTCTAGCAAGTATTATTCATTTGATTTCTGTTTGTTAGTAATTAAATTTTAAATCTTAAATTCTAAACTTAAAAATAAAAATGTTTCACAATGCAACTTAATATGCAGAATTATCAAAGTAAAACTTGCATGGACAAGGTCTCTATTTTCATTCTACATGTAACATTGCCATAAGACGTGGGTTGAATTCATAGGTCTTAAAATAAAGTGTATATATATGTATATATATAAGGAATCTGTTTATTTTAAAAATAAGTCTATTTAGACTTACTCCGTTCAAAAATTCATGTTCTACATCAAATTTTAACTATCCAACAATTGAATTTAAAGTTCTTAATGCATAAATCAAATATGAAAATTTTAAAAAATTTTAAAACTATTTAATACTTTGTTTCATTAATTCAAATCAATGTATAAAATGATTTTATGATTATCCATCCATTTGAATTAATGAAAAGAAGTATCAAATAATTTTTAAATTTTTTTAAAATTTACAAACTTGATTTATGCATTAAGAACTTTAATTTCAATGATTAAATCATTGGAATTTGATGTAAAATATAAGTTATTGAACGAAATAAATTTATCTAGACTTACTTCTGAAGTAAATATAACCCTCCTTATATATATGTATGTGTATGCATGTATGTTTGTATCTTTGATATACACGCTTCCTTGAATAATAAGTACACGTACTCTCCTTGGCACATATTACAAAAATATATTTTATATAAAAATAATATAAATCACATTTATGAGATAGATTTTCAGAAAGAAAAAAAAAGGTTCGTTTATAAAATATACAGAAGAGACATTATTTAAAAGGAAAAATAATAATAAATTAAGAAAAGTATTTAAGAATTTTTATTGAAAAAAGGGAAAAAAATGTATTTTTCAATAAGAACTAAGAAGTGTAAATATAATTTGAAAATTTAATTAAAAAAGCATTATAGAATGTATGACAATGGGCTACTATAGCACACAAATTAATAATCCTATTGAAAGTAGTCAATTAGGTTGTTAGGTGAAAATTAGTTATAGATGAAACAAAAAAAGAAGTTAATAACAGTTTAAACTAATACATGGTCCGACATGAAAATTAACTTATAATAAATTCATATAATTTTTTTAATAACTTTATTACATTATTTATATGTTTTTGGAAACATTTTTTACTAAAAAATAAGAAAGTTGTTTTCATTGAAAAAGACATCTAGGTTTATTATCGATATAAATTGCAGAATGGTAAATAAAGTTGTATTGAAAAGAGAAAAAAAAAAACTTGGAAATCGTAAATTTTGTCTTGTGCATGTCATATATGTGAACTATATTTGCTTCGAGCGCAAACATCACAAGTCTCCATGTTTCTCAGGTTTAGACAAGATTCCCACGAAAGGTAGACCTCGATCTAGTTAGTTAAATAAATAATAATAAATAAATAAATAACAGCATTAGACATGGATGAGGGGTAAACGTGAGACGCTAACAATGTATCTTAATCATGTGTGGTCACGAGGAAATAAAACTTGAAAACCATGCCAAAGCCATACCTTTCCTCCATGGAATGAGTTGATTAAATTTCTTGGTTACAAAGCTTAGAACCATAATTTCCTTTCCAACATTGCATATATGTTGGCACCCCCCACGACGCATGAATCACAACAGTGCGAAGAATTGAACTTGGTTTAGGAGAATCAACAAACAAATAAAAAAGACAATTTTCAATCATTCAATTGGTAATTAACCATGCCAATAGTTGTAATCCGTTCCCGTGAACATGCACAGAGACCAGGTTTGTTTGACCGTCAAAGACCACTTCATGCAGCCCTTGGTGGAGGAAAGCGTAAGATAGTTTACACTAACTCCGCCTCTTTCTTATTATCACTTTACGATTTCCAAATTCTATTTGTTATGTTAAACACCGGATCTCAATTTTCTTAAGGAAAAATTCAACATCGCTACTCTTTAGGATTGATTTTATGTATTTAAAGTATAAATTTTGTTGGGAAAAAAAACACATATCTATTGTACTTTGACTTACTTTTCAACCAATAGTTGATATTAACAAATCCTAATTTTTAACATCACATGCTCAAATATTTCTCCCACTAGTTCATAAAAAACACTCAGAATAGGATTCATGTTATCCAATTCATCTCAATTTTCACCCCAAAATAAGTAAATAAAAAGAAACTTTCATCATTATATATAATTTTTTGTCAAAAAAAAAATGAAAACTCTACAAAGCCTATTATTAGGATAGATGTGAAGTTAGAATCATTAGTTAAAACCTTAAATGATTGGATAGAAAGTCTCCTAACTTTTATCGAAAGTATTGTTTTGAGGGTTTGCTCTAGAGCGAATATATGCACTAAACGGTTTTTTATCTTTTATATTCCAAACACCAAAATGTAGATCAACCTTTTTATTTCTAAAGTTATTTTTTTTGTGAAATGATTGATTTGATTTTGCAGTTGCTGATATATTGCTATGGAAAGACAAGATATCAGCAGCAGCAATTGTAGCTGGGTTCTCCATCATCTGGTTTCTCTTTGAAGTGGTCGAATGCCATTTTGTTACTCTACTTTGTTACATCATCATGGCCATTATGCTCGTCTTATTCGTATGGTATAATGCAGCTGGACTGATCACATGGTAATGTAACCTTACACTTGTATATATACAATAATTTATGCAGTTCTTAATTCAAAAACTTTCTTTATAATTTGTGGAGAAAAATTAATCATTTTCTTTGCAGGAGCCTACCTCAAATCTATGATTTTGAAATCCCAGAACCCACCTTTAGATACTTTTATAAAAAGCTGAACTCGTTCTTGAGGAAATTTTATGACATTTCAACTGGGAAAGACCTCACACTCTTCTTTGTGGTATTGAAAAACCATTCTAAGTTACTCTCACATCTCTTGACATTCCATTTTATTAATTAGTTTGTTGTAAGTTCACATCATGTTATTGAATTTTCAGACAGTCTCGGGTCTCTGGATCATGTCAGCTATTGGGAATTATTTTACCACTTTGAATCTCCTATATATCAGTGAGATTCCAATTTCATTTTATTAATATCATGTAGTTATAAAACTTCCTAATTGAACCTTATCAATATGTTAATCTGCTATGTCTTTCTTCCAGTGTTCCTCTGCTTGGTGACCCTTCCGATCATGTATGAACGGTATGAACATGAGGTGAATTATCTAGCAAGCAAAGGAAACCAAGACGTGAAGAGATTGTTCAACACATTTGATTCTAAAGTTCTCAACAAGATTCCAAGGGGACCTGTGAAAGAAAAGAAGCACAAATGAAGTTTAGATATGCAATGCACGAAATATTATACAAGTTGTACCACTATTTCCTGCCTTAAGTATGCAAAAAAAAAATGCTTGTAAAATCTCTGAAACCAAGAGTTTGAAACAACATATTAATTGAAGGTTCATATTATTTAAAATAAATCACAGCATTCATAATTTCTTTGGACAAGTTTCTGAGTAATTAAATATTACGTTGTAACTAACAAATCTGACAAGTTATACTTAAAACATGACAATAAATGTGACTACTTATCTCCCAACCAATCCCTTTAATTGGCGCATCATAAAATTACATATTAAAAAGGACATGTCTGCTAGTATGGTTAAGAGGGTAGGTTGCGAACTAGAAAAACAGGATTGATGTGAACATATAAAGGAAATATACTTAAACTAAAGTAGCCATGTTAGTATGTTAACTTCTTGGTATCTAGTATCTACTCTTCAAGTTCCGAGAGGATAAATAGATTCTCCTGTGGTAGGGGGAGATTAATTCTTAATTCTGTAAGTAGTTATATTGGTATAACAAATGCTAATAATACACTGTCTTACACTCTTTATTTGACATTTTGTTTCCTACTAGGTGAAATTTATATAGGTTTCACTTAATATAGAATCTCATTTGGTGGCTCTCATTCCAAACTAGTGGAATCCAAATGAAGTTCAACCGAGAAGACAGTGTGAGTTGGAAATTGAGTGTAGGGGAGCATGTTTTTACAACTGTTCTGTTTGGTATATAATAAGCTTCTAATTATAATTCATGTGAACTACTAAAGGAATGCTTCAAAGGAGGATTGAAGAATGAAGGATGCTTGAGAAAGGTAAAACTTTCAGATACTTAGAGACCATTGCCTTCAGTGAGATTGAACAATGTTTTAAGTAAATTGATGTCATATACAGGGAGTTTAACCAACCTAAAGGGGTAAAAAAAGGAACGAGTATGTGTTTGTAAGAAATTATTAATACCGCAGAGCATCACTCACATTCATCATAGGCTCATCATTAATTGGTGCACAGAAACTCAAGGAAAGCCTTGAAATCAGTAGCCATTTTTTTTATAATATGCCTCACTTGATTTCTTTATACTACAGTATCAAGGAAAGCCTTGAAATCAGAAGTCATTTTTTTTTCTTCTTCTGCTTCTGCGGCACGGTATTTTTCGTTTTCTCTTTAAACGGAGAATTACTTTAACCTAATTGTCCAAAAATTATACGTATTTGAAAAACAAAATTGACTCAATAAACAGGCTTGGGTTATTTTCTATCCGAAAGAAGTTATCACTTCTCATAAGTTCTTAGATTAGTTGCCTTGCCTGTGTTCTCAGTAAGAAAATGGAATAGATATCCATTTTCTCTCAAAAAAAAAGTAAGAAAAAAAAAGTTGGTTAAAAAATAAAAATAAAATAAAAAAGCTGGACTGGTGGGAGAAAATCCAAACCGGATTCAAACAAAAGAATTAATGAAGATGTAGGGTACGTGAGTAGTGGCCACTGTTTTTTTTTTTTCTGCACAATACTTAAGAACCACGTACTAAATTTATCTCCATTCATGTAAATTTTATCTAACGAGAATAAAATATTAGTATAGTTATGCTAATAATATTGTTGAGATGAAAATTAAGTACCACATCATTCAAATAAGAAGATGAACATAAGTTTATATATAAATAATTATCTTCATTAATAAAGAGATATTTTGGATGGTATCTAAAAACAAAACAAAGGGATAGAACCACATCATTCAAACAAGAAAATGGACATGAGTTTATATACACATAATTTTTTTTATTTAGTTCATAAAATTAATATCTTCTATTAATACATCATACTATATTTTTTTAATATGTAAAATAACGACAATAAAATTAAATTTTAAAATATTATATTTATTATCTAACTTCTTACCACTAAATAAAAGACTATATTATTAGTATTAACATAATATATTTTATCATAAACTATAAGTATATTAGCAATATTTATTAGGAGATTTTTTTTATTTATATGATTTAAATTTGATATTAAGAACACTCGTATAGTCTACTCAATCAACTGAATTAAATTCATTTAATATTTATATTAAGAGATTAATTTTGGTTAGAAAAATTTTATACTGCTAAAAACAAACTAAATGACTATAGTATGATTAGAGTTTTCTCGCATTAAACTAGAAATTAAATTTGAGTGAGTTTATTTAATATTGAGCTCAAATTTTCTAAATTCAATCCAATAACTTAGTTTATGATTTTTTTTATAGACATACTTCACATAATGTCTTAAAATTTAAAGTTGATAATTAAAAATTAATGTGAACTTGTAAGAAGTAATTTTTGCTGATCAAATATTATTTTAATTTAATTTATATTGTGAATATGATAACTTAAATAATTTTTACTTCTAAAATGCTAAATTCTTCTTTCTTTATATTATTAAACTTTAAAATTCGAGATGTATATTAAAATTTTCAAAAATACGTTGTTAACTTCCATTCAAACATAACATTAATAAGTAATGCTATACGTTTCGAATGAAACTTTCGAATCATCCTTCGAATCATTCAATTATTTACATCTTTAAAATATTTTAAATAAAATATTTTTTTTAATTTTATTATTTTAAAATTTTGAACATTCAAAAGATTTTTGGGTGAAAATTTTTGGGAGGATGTATCAATTTTGAACTTTAATTCCTCTCATTCTTTTGCTAGAAATGTAGTACAATTATTAGCTTTTATACCCATTTAATATCTTTCTTGCCCACTTAACTCACGCGAGCTAAATTCCAGCAGCCCAACTCCAATTAAGAAGATTGGCTCACAAATCAGCACTTATTTAGAACACTCACCCCCCAAAAAAACACTATTTTCATACCATTTAGTATTATTTTACTTTTACACTATCTTTTGATGACAATTATTACCACTATTTCATTTTCGGTGGCTGCAACTGCAAGAGAATCATTTTAGAACAATAATTGGTGGGGTTGAGTTCCCCACTTTTACTCTTTATTATTTGTAGACAGTTAGGTGTCTTTTTCTATAGGGGAACAAATTAAGCCACGTAAACCCTAAACTTTAAGCATAGTTGTGGTCATTCAAATCATAAACTAAGTTATTGGATTCATTTTCAACTAGGAATTCATACCATCAAACTTCTTCCACCGCTTGAATACTAGACATGCACTGGTGATACAATCACAATGCTATATATATATAATTCTTAATTTAAAGACTTAGATAGATTGATTCACATTATTATAGTATCAAAGCCAAACTTTTTTCTTACTGCCATCCACTTATGTTACACATAAGTTAAAAAGGAAAATTTTATAGATTTTACCGCCAGCCAAAATTAATGCATTTAGGCATTTTTTTCCTACTAATATCAAGTGGTTTCGGATTTGAAACATTATTCTATGTCAAATTAATGGTTATAAATTAAAGGGACATGCACCTCATTCTAGAGTACTTCTAGTAAGAAGAATTTGGTTTCTTTTAATGAGATAAATTATTTATTAATACCTCTAAATAATTAATTAGTTGGGGATTTTTTTAATTTATTTTACTGTACTATATATAACGCAATTAATAAATTTAAGGTAAATAGACGTATGATGTATTTTCTTATTTCTCACATAAAAATTATAATTTAATTAAACTTGTACTATATTAAAAATGGAAAAAATATATTTTAAGTAAAATTGTGATTATTGCAAATATTTTGTAGAGTTGCTTAACTGGCAACCTAAGTTACATTTTCAATTTTTTGATTATTATATATACATATATTTGTACATGATAGCTTGTAATTCTGTTGAGGAATAATTATTCTTTAGGTTGGTTTTATCCTTATACATATAAATCTATATTATTACATGTATTTTTTAGAAATTATTTATATGTTAACCTTAAAGAGTTGTTGTGTTTTTCATTGCAAGTAGTTAAATTATTAAGTGTAAAAATCATTACGGATTATTACAAAATCAACTTATAAACTCATCAAACAAGTTTTTGTAATTGTTAAAAAAAATAGAAACTAATTTTAAATACTCGCAAGAACATTAATTCTCTATTGTGGTTAGAGATTATCATTTGATACTTGCACCTTAACGTGTCTACACATAATTCATCAAGTGAATGCAAAAAAAACTAACGAATTAAGTACTTTTTTTCTTATAGGCACTAACAAATTAAATACAAAGGGGAAACATATTATATCTCATAATATTGGTTTGCAAGCTAAATGTGATTTGACCATAGATCTAAATTATATCAACCCATCATTGTGGGGAGTTAGCTCATCGCTTTCATTAGTATTCTAGGGTCACAAATCCATCATCTTAGCTATGACTTTCCGAAAGAAAAAAAAAATCCTTGAAACTTTGAAATATATGACAGAATATGCTTCTCTGATTATATATTGACAAGCTAGCCTTTTGTGTATTATTATAGTGTATGAGTTTTTTAATCTGAATAAATTTAAACATAAAAAAAAAAAAAATTATTTTTTAGAGAAAAATGTCAGGATATATATTTAATGTTAATTAATAATGAAGTTTTTATTTCATTTAATAAAAAAATTAAAGAGATAAAATATTATTAGATCAATCAACTTTCTTTCTAATGGAGCGATAGAATTTTTTTTCTCTCAAGCTCAGTTTTTTTCTTTTTTTGTTCAGTCCTTAGGGGGAAGGCTACGGTATTCCTTCCCTTAAAGTGATTTTTGAAATGTTTGTGGGCTTTCCTTAAAATCCCGTCTTTTATAATAATAATAAAAATTATACAAGAGTTTTGAACATAAGAAAAATAAATTACGAAATTAAAGTAATTAAATTAATACACGATTTTTACCTGTTAATTTGATATGGTTTGTTAAAACTATAAATTTAGAATATGTTACATTTAAGTAATGGTATATTCAAAAAGAACACAATATAAAGGTATAAGTTTTTTTTTTTGTTTGGTTACAAAGTATATAATTTTTTTTTGTAAGTAAAGTATAAGGTGTTGGATATAGGAGTTGTTACATAACTTACCAAGAAAAAAGTGTATCTTAAATGTCATTTTGCGCAAGATTGTACACAAATCTTAATGTATATGATTAGAAATGGGTTCCAAACCAGTCAATGAAAAAGAGACTCACGGATAATAGAAAACTAATTAATAGGTATCTTGT